GCATCGTGCATCGCGACCTGAAGATTGAGAACATCCTTATCAGTAAGACTGGTGATATCAAAATCATTGATTTTGGTCTCAGCAACTTGTTCTCCCCAAGGAGTCTTTTGAAGACATTCTGCGGTAGTCTGTATTTCGCTGCTCCGGAGTTGCTCCAAGCCAGACAATATACGGGACCCGAAGTTGATGTTTGGAGCTTTGGAATTGTCCTTTATGTCTTGGTTTGTGGAAAGGTACCTTTCGATGACCAGAGTATGCCTCAGCTGCATGCCAAAATCAAGAAAGGTGTGGTAGAGTATCCACCAGGTCTCAGTGCCGGTAAGTCAAGGTTGAAAGAATGATTTGTCTGGTTCCATTGCTGATTAGAATTCGCAGAGTGCCGCCACATTATATCACGCATGCTGGTCACTGATCCCAAGCAGCGTGCCAGCTTGGCCGAGATCATGAGCCATCCCTGGATGAATAAGGGGTTTAGTAACCCTCCGGAGAACCACCTTCCCCATCGCGAGCCTTTGCAGTTACCTCTGGATCAAGAGGTTGTTGAAAAGATGACCGGTTTCGACTTTGGGCCTCCGGAGTACATTACAGCTCAGTTGACTAAAGTACTGGAGTCCGAAGATTACCAACATGCTCTCCGGCTGTACTACCGCGAACAACAGCAGCCTGTTTCCAATCACCCAGAACGCAAACGAGGAGTGTTCGATTTCTACAAACGACGAAACTCTGCGGCTAGTCGTGATACTCTTTCCGCGCCTTCAGCCGAGGCGGTGCAACTAGGCAACGACCCTTTAAATGCTTACAGTCCGTTGGTGTCCACTTACCATCTAGTCAAAGAAAAGCTTGACAGAGAGCGGGCTGAAGCACGGCCTGGTGCCCTTGGCCTTCGTCAAACCCCCAGTGAAGTCCACGTGCCTGAGCTGCGGCCACCGGAAGCCGCCCACACCAATCAATACCAGTTGGCAGGAGACAAGGATACTGGACGACGATCTCGGCCACGGGCCCGCACCCATGGCGAGGACGAAGCCTCAGAAGGAATTAAGATACTTCATTCTACCTCGCCGTCTACGCACGCAGTCCCAACTTTGCCTCCCGATGTCCCCACCAGAAAAGAAAGCACTGCTGCTGGAATTTTAAGACGATTCAGCACTCGCAGGACCAAAGATCGCCACCGTGATGTGGATCGTGAACGCATCAGTACCCCCAACACACCCACACTCAACGTTCAGCCTCCTGCAGATTCAGCATCTCCGATGCACCGTGGCTTCAGCGTAAGGAGAACCCGGCGGGCTGAGCCATCTACAGGCGAGACCTCTTCGAATGATAGCCGGCCTCAGCAGGATCTTCTAGCGGCGCCAGGATCGTCGGAACACAATGGGCGGTCCAACAAATCCCTCGAGAGATCTACCAGTGTCAACTCGGCAGACTACCGAACTCGGAGAGCCGCACGGAGAAGTGATGCTGATACCTTGGACGTTCCTACAGACCGTCAACCGCCATCTACCAGTGACTCTGATCAAGTTGTTTCGAATAATCAGAAAGATCCGGCCACCGTGAGGGCTGGTGGACGCACTCACACAACGCGCACCATGTCGCTGGGACACGCCCGGCGAGAAAGTATTCAGGCACGCCGGGCCCGACGAGAAGCTACTCGAGAGGCCAACGTGCCCGAAGAGACCGATGTAGATATTTCCGGCGCAGGGACAGCACTGGAGAGTGCTAACGAGGGAGAAGATCTGTCCAAACCTGTGTTCCTTAAGGGTCTTTTCAGTGTTTCCACTACCAGCAGCAAACCTTTGCCCGTTATTCGGGCTGACATCATTCGGGTCTTGAGGCAGCTCGCGGTTGATTATGTCGAGATCAAGGGTGGGTTTAGCTGCCGTCACGCTCCCAGCATCGACCTCGACAAAGTGATTGATGTTGCCCCTCCCAGTCCAGAACGACAGGGGCAAGTATCAGGGCACCGTCGTCGTATCAGCTTTGGTGGCCTTCTCAACCACGATGAGAGCCAAAACGACAGCCGCACTGGGTCCTCCAAACTTCGTCAAACTCATGCTGCGCCGGATCGCAGTTTCACCACGAACTCGGACGGCTCAGATGAATATGTTGCACGAGAACATGGTGGTCCGGTCGGCGAACGTGTCGTCGGCGAAACCACTACCCGTGTACAGAGCGACACTGGAGAGAATCTCGTCCTCCGATTTGAAATCCTGATCGTGAAGGTGCCTCTGTTCTCCCTGCATGGTATTCAGTTCAAGAAGGTATCAGGCGGTATGTGGCAGTATCGAGAGATGGCGAAGAAGATTCTCGATGCATTGAAACTGTGACCTGTCCCAGTTGACATAAAAATTTTGGACATGGAACGTATACCATGACCACACCTCTTCCCTTGTCTCTGTGGCGCACAGTTGGCGATTTGTTTTGAGTTACATTCATCCACGACGCATCCGCACGCACGAGCATTCATCAATTTTGCCCCTTATCATTTGCATGTCCATCGCTATCTTTGCTTTTCCTCCTATCTTTCGTAGAGAGGTCATTTATCTTCATTAGCCCGTCATTTGCTCATTTCGTCCTAAACGTAAGTATTGCTCGCCTATTTCAATACCTATTGACCTAGCTAGACATGCTCTTGGGTCTTCATGGTGTACATTAGAATCGAGTGAAGACAATTTTGGTTGGTAGCTTTTTTTTTTTTTTTTTTTTTTTTTNTTGTTGTGGCCTCGGGAGATGAAGTTGTACCTTCCATTGAACAGTTATGAACTTTATGGTATGCCTACATACGAGATGGTTGCAGCAATCGTCCGTAGGATATGATCGTAAAACTACCGCGTACTACGTAAGGAAAAATAAGTCTAATTGTTATTGTGGCAATTCAAGGGTATGTTAGCTTGCTTCCTCTCCTCCGTTGTTGGACAACCATGTAATTCATGTAGGCCTTCACCTACCCATGGGGGGCTTGCTGATGATTTTCTGAACGGAACTTCATCTTAACCTCAGCCTTAGGCTCAATCAAAAAGCTTTCCCCTTGAATGTTAGATCTAAACAGTATCTAGTGCCGGTGGGGCGAGCCAATAACACCAAATATCATTTGAGAACCCCGCCAGACTCGTTCTACCAAGGCCATATATATCTAGATCATAGCACCTTACATTCTACTCTAGGGGCTCGAAATTGAATCCGGGTATAGTGTCTACATTTTCTACGGTTTCTAGGGTGTGTATCCTTGTCTATATCCACGTAGACAGTAAGTCTATGTTACGTATGCAATAAAGCGAAAGAAAAAAAAGAGAATATACATGGACCATACATGAGCCTCAATTTGATAGTTCGTTGATAATGCTTGTGAAACCGGGGGACTAAATGCCCTGAGCGCAGCACACCAAGCCGCTGTTGTGGCACAGAGGCCTAGGGCCCAGGACCTAGGGTCTGGGGCCCGCCAGTTATGCTGCTGTGTAACCCTAACCGCCCAACCCCGTGCGTGCCCTGCCAAAACTGCGGAGCGGGTAGGGCTCTGGCTGGGTGCGTCCGGGCACCGCATCGAATTGGCCCGTTGGCTAAACTAACATGCAGCTCACAGTAATTCACAACCCCATTCACATCCTTCCCCCAATTAACTAGATTGTCCTGATACCTATAAAACAATTAAAAAATTAAAAAGAAAACCATAATCAAAACTTCTCTAAAGACAATATTATGGATTATCACATTGCAGATAAAAAGAATTCATTTTGTATTAGGGCGCGGACCTACACTGTCGATCTAGCCCTCGACAGCCGGTAGAACTACAAAACTCCTCCAAATCCGACCTTCACCACGAGAAAAGCACTTTTCTTGCCCTAAAAGCTGCCCGGATGCACCGGATTGTGTTCCAAGGTTGCGCTTATATATGATGACTAAGATATTAATAGTCCGGGTCTTAGAGACAACCAAATCACCACTATACTTCGCTTTTCTCCTAATTCTACATAATCCGACCTTTTTATAGAATGTAATATGGGGTTCTATATAATTATACTATCAATTCTCTATAAAATAAGCGAACTCCGATGCTGAGTCATCACAAAACATAAGGCGTTGATTGGATGAATTTTGGACGAACCTTGGAAGTGAGGTCCATTGCGGCCCGCATGGTCGATATTGATGCCAAGACTTTGAATAGCCATTGCCCTCAAAGTTTCAAAGCTCTCTATACGCCGGTCCCAGCGTCTGATTTGGTTGATAAATATATCAATCGATAGCTAGCGCCGAGCTCTATAATATACGTTTTTTCTGTTGCATTTTTGGGCTTGATTTGGGCCTGGGAGCTATTAGGTGGTTTGAAATCGATTGAAGGCTCATAACTTTCCTGAGCGCTGTTCCCGCACTTCCCAACAACCCCTTTTAATCATCCAACCAGCGGCCACCAACCAGAATACCCCTATCAACCTCGAACATTGTAAACTCGAAAGATAAAAGATAAAATTACTTTATTCAATAGCGGAAATTGTTGATATCGTAATAATAATACTATAGACATGTTTCTATTTCAATTGAGGTGACAATGAAAGCTAACGTTAGGTTGATCATTTCCTATTTAGGCAGGTGAAAATAAAGGTGCTGAGTCAGCACACGTCAGGGGCCCACCACGAGATATTCCCGTCTTCGTTTTCTCAACCTTACCTCTCCACCTATCTCAGTCCTCGATCTTCCACCACGTCTCTCATCCGCCACAAACGTCGGATCTTCTTCTAGTCTTTTTTAGTTTTACCGGCGCTTCTTGGAGATATTGTTTTTCTTTTTTTGCGTCATCTTGAGACGTTTATTTCCTCATCTCCCTTTGTCCTCGCTCTTTAAGGCTAGGATCCTCGAGCCGTCGATACTTCGAGAATCTCAAGGGCCTCTCCTTCTTTATTCTCCTCTTCTATCGTCCTTACTATCCTAAACGGATTGTACTTACGATATTTTACGCGTGTTTGAACGCGTTTTGAAGCTTGTCATCCCCTAACACCCACGTGCTGCTTATGATGGACGGACGTGTCCCCCTTGGTTCGGGGGCTCAGAACCGAGTATTCATTGATTTGACTGATGAGACCGAGCCAGTTGACTCCACGATGGTAAGTGCTTATCCAAAGGCTACTCTGCTTAAGCCCATTTCCCCTGGCCCTGTGCCCCACTATAACTACCTTTCTTTGTTTCGTCGATTTTTTTCAGTTTCCCCCAAGCCAACTGTTGACATAACTATTGATCTGACAATCTGATCCCACGTACACAACTACTTGTCTAATTCTTACTAAACATCGCTCCTAGACGGAGAATATGGTCCAGAACAAGCTGCCCTTTGTGACAGCGGTAGCATATCGGACACCAACGGTGCCGTTGAAAAGGAAAAGCTTAGAGAGATCTGAAGATGTCTCAGATTCCTCTTTGAGTGATGTGCACAGAGCTGTACAGCGTGTACGCCTGTCACACGCTCACCCTGCCCCAGCCCCATATACGCCAAGTCCACCACCATCTATCAAACAATCTCAGATCAGTGTTGTGATTCCATCACCAACTCCACAGCAAAAACGGGAGATTGCAATCGCGCAAACGCAAAATGTGTCTAGCGGGAATGTGAATGGGATGAGCCCTCATTTCTTCCCAACAACTGGTGAAGAGGAGAGAGTTAACAAGGCCACATACTCTACTACCAAGGCTCGTGTGAACCGACGTTCTATCCCATTATCGTTTAAATCAGGCTCACGTTCAAATGTTCTCAACGTGCCATCGCCCATACAATCAAATCACCTCGGAAAGCTCCGTGACCTTCTTGACGAGAAGCTCAAACAAATCAAAGGACCTAGAGTTATTGCCACAGTCAATTCTCCGCAGCGCCTAGCTAAATTAGCAGATAACTTTGAGTTCGTCAACAGTTATCAGTACCGGGCAGGTGTTAAACGGATTCCTGACGACTCTGATTTTAATATCGGATGTGCCTGTACTGAAACTGGCGGCTGCGATCGCTTTGAATGTGACTGCCTGAGCAAGGAGGAAGATTCCGAAGATCGAATCGTCCCGTACGAGATCTGTGAGAGCAACGCTAAGTTGATTGTCGCAACAAAAAGCTTCCTTAAGCGCAAGGCGATCATTTATGAATGTAACTCCCGTTGTGGCTGCGGGGGGCAACGATGTTGGAATCACGTTGTCCAGAAAGGACGGACTGTGAGGCTTGAGATCTTTGACACTGGATCTCGGGGCTTCGGTTTGTCTCACTTCATCCCCTCTTTACTTATCATATATACTAATTAAGATTATGATATCTAGGTCTTCGGTCCCCCGACTTGATTCACCGTGGGCAGTTCATTGATCTTTACCTAGGTGAGGTGATTTCGAAGGCCGAAGCGGATGAACGCGAGAACCTCACCGACGGTTCACATACGCAATCATACCTTTTCTCTCTGGACTGGTATGTCAAGGACGACGACGATGAAGAAAAAAATATGAAAGTCATCGACGGCCGCAAGTTCGGTTCGGCAACTCGGTTTATGAACCACTCTTGTAACCCTAACTGCAAGATCATCCCCGTTTGCACCACGAATCATGCCGACGAATATCTTTACAATCTTGCATTTTTTGCCAACCGCGATATCTCCCCTGGCACTGAGTTGACCTTCGATTATAATCAGGGCGAGGAGAACACAACTCCTCAGAAGATCGACCCCGAGGCTGTCCAGTGCCTATGTGGTGAAACCAAGTGCCGTGGTCAGTTGTGGCCAAACAAGCGCAAGGGCCAGGGATCTAAGCCCTAATATGCTTTCCTTTATTTCAACCATGCTCGGTGGTGCTCAGTGATTCATCCTGCCAACCGGCCAATATCCTCACATTTTTCTTCATACCCCTCTCATGTGTGATTAGCGACTTGGTTTTTTTTTTTTTTTTGCACAGTCATGACCGTAACGCAAGTGCATACAAGCATAACTACCCCTCTTCTAGGCATCTCTTGGCCTATTGGCATCCTGATTTCTTTCATCTGTGGTATCTCGGTTTGCCTTTACCATATGTTAGATTCACAATACCCTGACAAGAATTATGTATGATTAACAACAAACAAAGCTTAATTTCAAATTACTTTCAACTTGCTTGATTTCAATCTTAGCCCTGATAGTATCATTCTGTGGTATTCTTTCCCCTCTGGTAGATAAGAGGGGAAATAGACATTTAAAGAAATGTAGAAACCAATCATCCGAGATCAAAACTTGTTAGACTTGACTAATTTTGATACAGCCATAAAATTAAAGCCAGCGAGCTTTTAATCTAGTCCTAGGGGAAGAAACTACAATCTAGGAGCAGGAGGGGTAATAGTTAAAGAATGTCATTTAAGGAAGACCGGGTGGATGGAAAAAAATAACCTACATAGGTAGGCGCCAATAGTCTGTCTCACACCCCGGACCCGGACCCAACCCAGGACCCAGGCTGGGGCCCCATTGGGGCCCCAGCAAAACCCAACTTTTCAAACTTTTTTATCATTTTATACTCTTGTATTCTCTGTATTAGCTATTTTCTACTAGCTTAATAGGTTTAATATAAAGGATATATATGGATCTAGATCTAAGATATTTATCTTCTTAATTTAATTTAAATCTTACTAGGTAAAGTAGAGAGAAAATGTAAAAAAACGTGAATTTTATGAACTTGAAGTTTATACTACCCTTTCCCTATAACCCTACGTAATTTATTAATTTTACTAAAACTATAATAATTAATTAAATTTATATAACTTCTTTATTTGTTATAAAATATATCTTAAATAAATATAAATTTCATATATATAAGGTGAAAAAAACGAGCTTTAAACACACTGTATTATAACGCTCGGTAAGTTTATTATATCTGTAACCTAATTAGGGCCCCAACCTAGGTTTGGGTTGGGTCCGGGTTGGGTCCGGGTCCAGTTGGGTTCTGCGACAGCGTATGCTCGATACCCAGGCAGTTCCCAGGCAGTTCCCAGGCCATGAATAAGCCATGAATAAGCCCTATAATACCACGACTATATATATACGGGGTTAATTCAGCTCAGCCATACTTAAAATTCTTCTCCTATTTTAATTTATTGTAGATGTGGTTCATCCATGCCAAAACGAAGGTCCACATTAAGTATTGCGAAAGGTCCGATATAAGAATATATATCTACTCTCTGCGGATTTACTACGCCTTCCATGGTACATAAACTGCAATCTAATCCGTAGCTTTCTTTTGAAATTATACTTCAGTATCTATAACATTATATAGATTACTCTACTTCTAGGATAGGGTATACGCAAATTAGGGGATTTCAAAAGAATTGCTTCATAGTGCGGGACTAAGCGATATAGAAATTAAGCAAGATAAGTATCGCAGGATTTCGAATTGTATCTAATTGTACGGAGTACATCCTGGGATCTAGTATGTAATTTGCGCTTTGTTCTAGTTGTATCCGCCTAAGCAAAATGGCCCCTAATGTAATCTTCTCCTAAAGTCTATGTATGGCTATGTTTCAATATTCGAACCAGAGATTAGGGCCAAGCATGGGGCTTCATGCTTTCCAACTCCAAGCTTTGGCCAAGGGTGATATTGCTTTTTTGATCTAGCCTTCCTCTGATGTAACTTCGGATATGTCTTTGTTAAAAGCTTTAAGCCAAGGGCTCAGCAAATAGTGATAGGACTAGTCCTCGGCAACCCCAAAACTTAATCCGCGTGCCTAGGACGATCTAGATATAAATAGATGATGTGTACTTATGGTTCAGCGGTAGGGTCCAGCGGGCTTACCCGCTTTTGCGACATCTAAACCCTCTTTTAAGGACTTTTGGGGCCAAGGAGCAGGGTAGGGTACCAGGTAGTAGGACAAGATTCATTAGTGCAAGTATGAAAATAAAACAATAGAAAAATCAATATTCAGTTGAGAAGCTATTTCAGCAAGGGCTCAAATGTAAACCCCCCCCCCAAAAAAGTACATATTTCCAATATCCAGCCACTATACAATATTCCCAATCTCACATTCTTTTCCGAAAAGCAAAAGTCCAGAGCCAATTAAAACAAATAGAGTATCACAGCATAGGCCAACAAAAAAGCACAAGGAAAAAGAAAGAACCAATAGTGTAAAGAAAAAGAAAGAAGAAAAAAAAGAAAGAAAAAAGAAGAGCTCAAGCCTAAGCCCGCCCCTCCATAACCTCGAAGATGCCGCCCATCACAAAGTTAGGTTTCACCTCCCCAATCCCCAGATCCACCGGCCGAGGCTCCATCAGCCCCAACCCCTGTCTCTCAATAGAGTCCCCATCACATCGCGACCGCTCTTCGCTCAATGCCATGTCGATCTTAGACGGTCGTCGGCGGATAACCATTGCTGAGCGGCCGCGTAGGACAACGCATGGGAGCACGCTGTTGGCATTGTGGGGGATGTCGGAGACGGAGACTGGGTGCGGCTGAGTTGATGGGTTTCTGGGGCTAGTGTTGTGCCCGATATTCTCGGGTTGCCCTCGGAATGTGTGGGTGTGGGCTTTGGAGGGGTTAAAGGAGAGGTTGAAGAGGTGGTGTGGAGAGGTTTGAGGCGAGTGGGTGGATGTTGGAGAGGAGGGTGGTGAGGTTGTTGTTGAGCTTGGGGTTGAGGTATCGCTGCTTGATTTGGGGCTTCTGGAGCGGAACGATGTGCTCAATGAGAGAAATGGTGAAGTGATATGGTTCATTGTTGCTGTGTTGCTGTGTTGGTTTGGAGTATTGTCTTGTGTCTTGTGGAATGTGAGGCTTTGGTTGGAAATGACTATGTCATATTAGAGTGAGATATGAGGATTGAATTGGTTATTTGTAGGACAGAGATTTTTGGGGATTTACTTGGATTTATTAATTCTATAAGTTGACTGCAAGGACTGTGCTGCAGGGAGAGTTAAGACACGGATTGAAGGCGACGCATGCGGATGAATGTGATTGTTCCTGAAAACGGACACACAATGTCTTTGGGAGTTGGAGATGTTCTCTTTTTACCGGTTTTGTATTCTCTATGTTGGATATGATAAATATGTAGAGTTATGTACTGATCTAAGTGATATGTATTCCGTATTCGTGTTCGAACAGGTCTCATCCTCTTTCCCCTATTTCCTCTTTCGGCGCCAATAGTAACTAGCTCGACCCACTTGATTCATGCACTCTCCTATAGTTTAAATGATCATCTGTTTTAATATCCGATAGTCAATATTCAATCTTGTATCCAAGTCGATGGGAAAAAATATTATTGAGATGGGAATCCCACGCCGCTGCTATGCAAAATACTCCTTAAGGAGAGTAGTATACAGCACAATGAAGCCAGAAAAACCAAACGGGCTAAACAGGCCACAAAAAAGAAAAGAAATCCCCAATCTAGCTGAGGGGGATTCTAAAGAATAAAAGAAAGAAAAAGGAATGAGGAAAACAACTAAGCCACGCTACTACCCACACCACCCACTTCGTGATAACATCCAAAATTCATATAGATCAATATGCGTAGCATTTTATTCAGAACTGCGATCACCCGATCGTCGCTGCGTGAAGCTTCGTCGGATACTCTCACCCCAGGCGGAGTTGTCTAGCGAATGCATGACGTCCTGTACATTCATACCACTATTGTGACGCGAAGTGTCGCTAGCCGGAGGCGCCTCATGCGTTTCGGTAGTGTCGAACGAAGTGCGCTCCCCGTACATTTGACGCGGTGTGATAGAGGGACTGATGCCCGACCACTCCCTTGTAGGTGTGTTGGAGCCAGATACTGACCCGCTCAAATTGGTATTGATGCGAGGTAGAGCATTGCGGTTTGCAGTTGGGCTGGACTCGGCTCGTCTGTGCTGCGAGACCGGTGAGAGCATGGGGGGGAAGTTTCCATCCAAGTCTGGTTGCGTCTGAGGTGTGACGGCGCCGGAACCTGGCTGGTCGTGCTCCTCGGGGTCATCGCCTGGATTGTCGACAAAGATCTCCGGCACAGTGAATGTTGGGACCGCGCTCATCCGGCCGCTCTTCTTGCGGTCAATCTTGCGGCGGAATTCACGTGACCAGTATAGGGTATCAAAGAAACCGACGACGGTGTTTCGACGGACAGCCTCTTCCACACGCTGCAACCGTGCTCGACGACGTAGGAATTCTTCGAGGCGCAGACTCTTGCTATCGCTAATCACATTGTAATGTGCGAGGATCATCAAGCACTGGTGGAAGGAGATGCCGCGATCGGGGTCTGCTGACACAAGGATTTCTTCGTAGAAGGTGTTCAATCGTTTGCGCCGCTCTTGAATGCTTTGAACTGGAATCCGCGATATGATCCGAGAGAGCTCGCCGATATCCACACCAGATGAGGCATGGGAGTTTGGCCGCATTGAGTGCCGTGGCTCAGCCAGCGAAACCATCGAATCTCTTGCGTAAGAACTCATCGAGTTCCTCTGAGGATCGATCCGGCATTTTTCGAGGATACTTCCGACCGAGAACTCTCCCTCGTAAATTCGCATTGCAAAGACACCAGAGAGCTCACCGAGTAGTCGAGGGAACTGCTCCGTAGATATAAAGCCCGTCCCATCTGGATCATACGTGGCCCATGCCTGCTTGAACCGGCGGATCTCTTCGCGACTGATCGCGTAGAGTCCGCTACTCCGCTGGTAGACATAAGAGAAACTTTCGAAAATCAATGAAACAAACAGTGAGACGAAGATGTACATGCTGATCAGGTTCCATGCAATGAAGAGAGTGCGGGACCACGGCGCGCTTCCACAGTCGTCGTCGAGGAAGTTGGCGTTCTGCGTGCACAAGGGCGGGATCATAGTAGCGAAGTCCTCCATGAATTCATTCCACCCTTCTCCGCAACTTGCTCGGAACAGCAGGATCAGTGATTTGGGCACATCACGGAAATTCTGGTTGTGATCCTCATTTTCGCCGAACTTGGTAAGGCCAAACGCCTGGTTCATCGCAATGCCAAACACCAAGAACAGCACGAACCAGGTAGCTAGAAGATTTCCAATCACGGACAGACTAGCCGCTGCTGTCTTAAAGAGCTGATCAAGCTGGTTGTTCCTTGGAATAAGCAGTAGAGCAACAGACACGAGGAAAAGCTTGTTGAGCTCCACCACGGCATGACTTTTTTCACGGTATGAAAGGTCCAGGACGGAGGTGATGAAAGCGCCGGGGACGGCGATGAGAGAGTACAGATCCCATGAGCTTCGGCTAAATCGATGCCATCCAAGACCAATCAGTCGGATTAAGACATTTGAAAGGTAGACAAGCATGAATGCCAAGAATATAAGAGCTATATTTACCGATCAGTAACACGCAACATTTCAAATCAAGGCCCAAAAAAATACATACCTCGAAGCACTTCCCACCAGACGGGTTCGGGGTAGTATTCCAGCACAAGTAACATCAAGTGAACTACAAGGACGCAAGTCACGAACCATGCCCACCGGCCATGCTTCTTAACTGAAATTCGATAACACCACAGCCGGAGCTTCTTGCTCTCGTCATCAAAGGATCGTTTTGAGGGGGATACCTGTCGGAGAAGTTTCCGCAATTCCAACCAGGAACGTTGCTCGGCAGTCATGAAGGCGACACCAGTTTGTTCTGTGTAATTACGCATGAACACAGACACAAACAGGGTCAGAACGAACACGGCTCCAAGTAAGTTGAAAACCACGAAGAATAACCCGTTCTCTGGCGCCACTAGATCTTGCGGTTGGGTCATCTTTCCAGTGATACTCATTGCAGCTTCTTGTACGTCGATCCAGCCTTCTTGGGAGACAATTTGGAACAAAATGAAGAGGGAATCACCAAAATTATCGAAATCATACCAAGAGTTCCCGGCCACTCGGGGAGCAAGCACGTCCCAATTGAATGGCGAGCTGGAATATTCATTGACGCAGTTGGTCAAGTTTCCAGAAAAACTACCGTCATTGCAACTGGCCATCTGCCCGTTGAACAGATTGACTCCATATATTGCGAATGGTATGAGGAAACTCATAGAAACCGCAGCGGCAGCAATGACTTTCCATCCCCCGACAATGATGACAGAGTGGAAAGTGTCCTTGGCGCTGTCACTGACGTTCAAAAGACGCAATGCCCTCAGCGCTTTAAAGGAGCCAATGGCTCTCGAAACACTCCAGTCCTGTTTGAGCGAGCCGCCGACACTGACCCACAGCGTGATCAATACAACTCCGTCAATGAATCCCCAAGAACTGCGGAAGAATGCGTTTGGCGTCCAGAAGAAGCCATCGGCGATCACTTTGATCGTTGCTTCAATGGTAAACACAACGGCAAATCCCAAGTCAGTATAGACGAACCAGTTGCGGTCAGTACGGAAATACTGCCGCTGATACAAGGGTGTTGTAATGCAGGCGAGAAGCACCATGGCGACAATGGCTGCGTAAATGAAAGCAGAGAACGCATACCACACTGGCTTGTATGGATCCACACCCTCAACTCGTTGGTGGCCGCGTCCTGGGCCGACAATTCGTTGACAAATTTTCCGCACGAAACTATGCGGCGGGAAAAGAAACAGTGATTTGTTATAGTTGGGGTGTTTCACGAGGTATTCTCGCTGGTCCCGTTTTCTCTGCTCTGCCGCAGTGACAACTTCTCTTGCCATGGTTGTCGGATCCAATTGCTCGTAAGCACGTGAAAACTTCAGTTTCGAGTAGAAAGGATTAGGTTCTCTCCGCATAACGAGCGTTGTGGCTTTCGTCCATAGGCGTGAGATCCAGCCTGGTTGAATGGTCTCTTGAGTCGCGCCTTCTAGCATATTGCTCACCCTTCGTGAGTCCTTCGGTCTTTCACGTCCTTGTTGCCTAGTCTCTTCTTCATCAAGGAACTCTTGCACCACGGCGTCTTTCAGCAACATTTCCAACGCTGCAGGACCATGGTCGAGTGGATCTTTGTACCGGGCTGAATCTCGGCCCATACGAAGGATCTTCGAGAGCGCTAGGTTTCCTTGGGGTGTTCCATGGACTTGTTTCTGTTCCAAAAACGCCCTGACTTGGTGCATTCGCTTTTCGTCTTCTGAGACATCAAAGCTCTCCTGAATAACAGCAATGAACATGTTGAGGATGATGAAATTGGACACAATGAACCAAAGAATAAGAAATGCTGCCGAGATCCAGGCTGTGTTGAATTCGGTCGTGTATGCGGTCGCATTGTAAAGAATCGTGGTCCAATTCTCACTCGACAGAATTTGATACATTCCCAGGAACGAATTATAGATATTCGAAAACGTGATCATGATCGTCGTGCCACTTGGATCTTGATCTGGGATCTGGCTTCGAAAAAGCTGTGTTGCGAAAATGGCAGATAAAAAGGTCATCAAGAATAGGAAAAATATCAAGTTTAGCAGACCGACAGTATTGCGAAAAACAATCATGATCAGCTGCCTGGTCACAGAGAAAGCCAGTACCACTCGGTAGACCCGAAGGATCTGGAATAAGGTGAGAACTGTGTATGCGCGACCTGAGTTTCTGAGGGGCGGTATCTGGATGATGCAGGTAATGATTACAAGCAAAAGGTCTGTCAAGTTACGACGCCTTCGATGGAACATGCGCCAATCCGAGGCGAATCGTAAGATAATCTCGACCAGTAAAAGGAGAGTGACAATAGTCTCGGTAGTATCGATAAACCGGGTACGACGGGCAGACATAGACGAGCTTCTAAAGGCTTGCACGATAAGGTCGAAGATGATGAGGCAGACCCAAACCCACTCAGTTTGATCATATATACGCTTGAGAGGACTGACTTTGCGAGTCACTGTGTCATCTTCGTCGACAGCATCAAGCTTTTGGACGGCAAAGGCGCTGCGTTTGCTTTCTTCTCGAATCACTTGGAATGAGTGTGTGATAACTGCAACCAGCAAGTTTACCAACCACAAGCTCAAAATGACAAACCCGCAGGAAAAGAACAGAGCCGTGGCGAGGTAGTCAGTGTCAGTAGTATAGTAGAGCAAATCGGTGAATGTATTGGAGCTCATGATCACAAAGACCAACTCCAGGGAGTGCAGGATGTTGTCAAAGCTCATAGTTCCATTGTAAGGATTTACACCTTCCATGCATATAGAACCCTGAGGACAAATATATCCTTTGGGGCTGAACCCTGCATCAATGCCATTGGAGTCAAGCCATGGCATTTTTCCTCCCGTCTGGTTGAGGTACCCACCACAAAATTGCACTGTGTCATAAGGATCATTCAATGTGTAATTGCTCTGGCCTGCGGGATCAATCCAGACACAAGTTCTCCTAAGACTGGATTTGAAACTCTGGATGCCAATGATTGCAAAAAGAAGCCAGAAGAAGCTGATAAGAAATGCGACATGGACGAGCAGAGGAGCTGCTCGCTTAAGACTTCGAAGAATTACCTAGAAAAAATCGGTCAGTATTTCGAAGGATACATCCTCTCAACAGAAGACCTACCGAAGTGCCGTTGGTCATGGCAAGCAGGCGTAAGATTCGGAGACAGCTTAACATGCGAAAGATGTACAATTGGTGTGTTTTCTCAACACCCGACACTGAAAGTAAAAAGGATACCCAAAAAGCGACCACGGCTACAAAATCAAGCCGGTTAAAAGAGTGTCGAAGGAATGCGCGGTGGGCAAGCCTAACGCGAAGTTTGTGTAGAGGATCATCATAAACTTCGGGGTCCAATCCGTTCATCCCTGTAAATGTTCGCAGGATTGAAGCTTGGGGCTCAGCCTGAAGCATTGATGCTTTCTTGATCGTCCCCTGTCGATGCGGTGTGATCAGGTTCCTGCCCTTCTCCGCGATTGCTTTCCTGATGCCGAGGTTGCGATTAAGTGTGCTGTACTCGACAGGGTTGAGAATAAGTCCAGACACCAAGATCTTAGAGCCTATCTCAAGTGTGTAAATGATGAAAATGGTTAAAAAAACCCAATCAAACTTGCTGTTCCCCCATCTCACTGAGTCCGGGTAAGTAGGTAGCGCATCTTGAACGGTCAACAAGATGGTCTGGATGACAATAACAATCAAGATCAAGGGCTCCATGAAAGGATTCACCAGGATGTCACACAGCCAGAGTCGGAGAGGGTTATTTGGCCCCAGGATTCCAAGTGACCTGCCTTTGAATGGATTGTTCCGATCCTTCCATAATCTGCTGGAGGAACGCTTCTCTCGAGCTGTTTGAGTCTGCTGGTTGGTATTATGTGCATAGTCTTCCATCGCGGGTAAGACCGGTGGCCCATCCATTCGTGCATTTTTATCAAGCTCCTCCCTGTCAATCGTTTGCTGTACGACTTCCGGTTCGTTACTCAGGTTGACCACTCGCTGCGACATGGATTTGACCATCGAGCCAGCGCGTTGTAAAGCCCCGGTGGACCCCGACGGAGACAAAGAACGCGAACGATCCCGGACACTGCTGCCCCGACGGCTTCCCATACCATCCTCCAGGTGAGGAAGATCATCGCCCAGTCTTGAACCACCAAAATGCACGGAGTGACCAGTATCAGTGCTGCGCCGGTCTTCTGCACTGGCAGCACCGCTCATTGGTTGTAAATATCGAAGATCGGTCAACCGTACCGTATCATCTCCGTCCGCTGGGGGGTTGTAGCCGTGGGGGTCGTGGGGATCATAAGGGTCTAGAGGTACGACGTCGAGGTCGGAAGCATCATCATCAAAACCACGGCTTGGTGATGGGTCCGGGGCCGATGCCCTTGATTGTGGCCCATTGAAACTGAGGCCAACCGATGAGATCGCTTGCGCGAAACCACCCAGGTCATCAAGCGGGGAAGCAACCTCTGTATAGCTCGTTTGTGACGGTTGGAATGGACGCCTGCTCGGTCCAGCCGAATCAATGGGAGACTCTTCCGCAACACTCTCATAATTTCTCCGCGAACCTCTCCCGATTAATGATTGTCGTGAGAAGAGACCAGTCCCCGCGCGGCTTCTCCCGCGCTCGTTGAGAGCATCTCCCGGTTTCGAGAGATCTTGGAGGGGAATTTGGTTCGGTGGAGCGTTTTCGTTATTATCAAGGTTCTGGCTATCTAGCGCCATCGTCAGGCAGGATCAGATACTATCGAATCGCAGACATCGCAGGTTGAACGGGAGGTTCTCAGACACGGTGGCGACACGTGTGTTGGTAAAAAAAGATGTATAATACAGGAAAAGAAAAGAGCGTGAATGTAAGACACAAATCAAGAAAACAGACAAGCTTCCGAAGCTGAAAATGGGCTAAGAGCGTCCGGATCGCAATTGCACTAAAAAGGACAAGTCCCGGGCATGCGATGGATATTCAACGTTCCAAAGTTGTTTTTGGCTGACATACCTCGGCAGGGCTAGACATGTATGGTACATAATATTTTTTTCTATTGCTTCTTACATACTACCTTGCTTAATCTACATACTAATTCAGCTCCTAAAGTGAAAATTTACAACGGTTTTAACCACACGCTGACGCAGCCTTGCAGTAAACAGTGTTGCCTGGTGGGGTTCCCTTTTTCCAAAAATAGTTCGACAAATTTAAAAAGTCTTAGAATGTCTTGAAAGTGTCAAAATCTCGGAATAAACGTATTATTGATTGATTCAATCGGTATCCATCTGAGAATCCTTTTCTTTAACGTGTTGCCGAACGCCATCCAGGAACGCATCTACCGCATCGCCACCACCAAGGGGTACTCCACCTCTCCGCATAAATCCTCCATTAGCCACGGGGATCTGCAAAGCCTCACTGATACTCGGAAGCCCACCATCACGGAGGGCTACAGTAAGACTGGCCAGGCTTTGCATGAATTGGGGAGAACGAAGCACTTTTCGGAGAATGTCTTTTTTCTGGGAGAGGTCGAGGGAAAGGAGAGCAGCTTGGGCAAGTTCCGGGTCTGTATCGGCTTCCGAAGCCTCAGCATTGCCCTGGGCCAGCAAAAGTAGTGCGGGCGGCAAGAAGCTCAGAAGATGATCGGCAGTAGTGGTATCAGCAGAATCGATAAATTGCAACGTGGTCGGGGGTGGAAGGAGGTCTTGGAGTGTCGTAGATGGTCGTTCGGGATCTTGGGATTGGCTCTGGCTCTGGCGGCTGCCCAGAGACTTCAAAAAGTCCTGGACAACCGACGCTGGATCTTCCTCGGTAGTGGCTCTGCAAGAACGGCAAATTAGCTTGGATGCCCCAGCTGAAGGCTGTCAGAGATATGTACCTACGCTCGTCCACCGTCGGCACCACCCTCTCGCGATTCTTGTCCCTCCTCACGCACATCGCCACCGGTCGCATCGGGGCCAGCACCGCCGCTGCCTGTGCTGTGGTATCGGCCGCGATCATGGTCAGTGCCTTCCACATCTTCCATGGTCTCATCGTCATCACCGCCCGAGGGCCGGCGGGGAAGATTGGCGATCTCGTGCTCTACATCAACATCCTCACCCTGCAGCAGAACATCGACAATTTCTCCAAGCTTCAAGTCACGAGGGCTGAACCAGCTCGGGTCACCGTCCTCGTGCTGGGACTGGGACTGCATCCAGAAAAGGTATCGCTGAGAGCTAGAGGAGAACTTCAGGACAAAGATCCGGCCATTTGTAGCGTCTCCACCGGATGGCTTGTAGGGAGTGAAGCTTCCATCTGAAGGAATCATCACCAGGTCAAGCTCGGGCTCGTCTAGTGAGGCGCTGCGCGAGCGCCAGCAGAAGTGGATAAGATCATCTTCGGAGTAAAGATAGACATAGCCTGGGGTGGCCTTCGGCTTTACGGCGGCAGGAGTGCTAGATTGCTGAATTGAAACGGTCAGTAAAGTTTCAATTTAGATATGAGTGTACATCGGGATGATGGAGCTGGTTATCGAGCTGACCCAGTCGGGTCCGGAAAGCTAAGCTCACGTACATCCAGATCGCAGATACCTGCTTTGAAGGTAATGATCGGAGCTATCGACATTTTGGAGTTTTGATTCTGAACAAAGATCCAATAATAGATTAGACTGTATTGACAGAATTGACACCCTCCAAGTAGATAAAAAAAAGAGTTGTGGAGGATGTAAGAGATAAAGTATACAGAAAGAGAGAGAGAGACTGCGAGCAGTATACGTCAGTTGTTTGTGTCGAGCAGTGCTTCTGCGTAAGTGGCTTTACAGTCGCCCGTATATAATTGCCTTACGGATATGGCAACAACGTCCTCAGTTACCGCTTTCCAAAATTGGCTAGGGCTGTCGGTTAAACACGTGATAGGGCTTCGTACACACAACCCTCGACGAATTCCCGCACTGGAGCCGACTCCGCTTAGCCAGTCCAAGTCCTCACCCAAATCTCCAACAACCACCCCGACAACCATTCATCCTTCGCCAGCAGCCATCATGTCGGACGGCCAGACGAAGCAGTTCGGGAAGAGCCAGAGGGTCGTGCCCGCCGACAAGGCCCAGAAGTGGTACCCCGTGGACGATCAGTCGCAGCCCAAGAAAGTCAGTACACCCTATGAAAATGGGACGCCACAAAAAAGAGGAGGACATACGACCGGCACACATCTGCCCCGATGATTGCGACGATAGCACCGGTATTCTGCGGAAGAGCCTTTGTGAATTACGGGGCGACATCCAACCAGACACCGGTGTCAATCGACGACACAAAAAGTTCATCAAATCTTGTGATCTTGTGCAAATCGCATATCATCTGGGGAAGATGCGGCTATGGCGATGGAGATACTTGGGATTCACGGGAATCGCTGGGATTTGTGTGGCATCAGAGACTAACTACTTTGTGTGTTTACAGGTTCGCAAGACTCTGCGTCCCGCCAAGGTCCGCGAGACCCTCGTTCCCGGTACCATCCTGATCCTCCTCGCTGGCCGTTTCCGTGGCAAGCGTGTCATCCTCCTCAAGTCCCTCGACCAGGGTGTCCTCCTTGTCACCGGACCTTTCAAGATCAACGGTGTCCCTCTCCGTCGCGTCAACTCCCGCTACGTGATCGCCACCTCCAAGCGTGTTGACATCACCGGTGTTGACGCCAAGGCCATTGAGAAGACCTCCGCTCCCGGATACTTCACCAAGGACAAGAAGGCTGAGCAGAAGACCGAGGAGGCTTTCTTCAAGCAGGGCGAGAAGGCCGAGGTACGCATCTTGTGGATATCACATTTACAGTGATCGAATACTAATTACTTTTTTGTCTTTATAGAAGAAGGTTGTTGCCAGCGCTCGCGCCAGCGACCAGAAGGCCATCGACCAGGCTATCCTTGCCTCCATCAAGAAGGAGGATTTCCTCGGCAGCTACCTCGCTACCACCTTCAGCCTCCGCAACGGCGACAAGCCCCACGAGATGAAGTGGTAAATGTGTGGTAGCCGCGGGTTCGGTAGATAGTTGGGGAGGACCATTTTTCCAACGAGGGGCGGCTCGATTGCAAATCGGCATCCTTTCGCGACTTTCGGGGGGCCGGTTTCATGAACCATGTCATGTAATTCCTACGGGATCCGTCAAAACACGTTTTTCACTTTTCTTATGATTTGCGGTTAATTCGGACATCCGGATGTCGTTCTCATGTTTCATGTTTCAAGAAACCCGTTCCCTTTGCGCGTGGCTGATTTTGCATGAAGCTGCGTTATGAAGAAAGAGACTTCAAGCAAAAAAAAAAAGATTAAAAATCACCTCGTTCCAGCAGGCGGGCTGGATTCTCTTTTATGTTCAGTATGACCTACTCCCATTTCAAGGTTCAGGCGGCAATCCAAAATTGGGCAATTCCTTCGATTCATCTAAACGGTCATGTAAAATCTGTAAGGCACTAAAATATAAGGTTGCTGGGCCTTGTCTTTAAGTGGATAACCCCATTGTGTGGGATTAAGGTACGGAGTATAAGATCTTGAGGTCTAGGCGTGAACTAGGAAGTAGTATAACACAAATCTCGTCTTCTTTACGGCGGTCATCAATGGATAGTACAATAGTTGTTCGACTGTAATACCGTGGCATTGAATGGATTTGTGCGACAACTCACCGACTTTTAAGATCTAATATCCTTCAATGAGTCTAGTGCCAGCCACCACTCCGACAGTCGATCCTAGGGTCAAGTACCAACCATCTATACCCTCATGGCTTCTAATCGCATGACATTTGAATATTCAAAATAGGATTGTATAAAACTTGTGTTGATATCATCAATGATAACACCTAGCAAATGACATAGAGCTCAACCCCCTGACCTTCTCGGATATATATTGTAGATCTAGATGACATATTTTGAACAATCCAAACTCACACTCCAAATAAAAACAGCAAAACAAAGACAAAATCTGCATAGCTACATTCCCAATGATTTATCATGTACTCATCAATGGTCGTCTCATCGCCGCTTTGACTTTCCAGACCCAACAGCCTTTCGCTTCATAACCTCATACGCCTTCCGCATGTCCTGCTCATCTGCCTCATCTGCCTCATCACTCATCTCATCATCGGTATCGTCTCCAACAACAGTGCCAAGAATCCAATCCACAACACCCCATGGGCCAAAGTTCCCCTTTCCGCCCATCAACAAATGCATATCCGTGCGACGGGCGATCCCACCCAAAAATAATTTTGTCGGCATGACAGTATATCCAGAGTATGCGAAGGTCTCCTCGACAGAGATAAACAGTAGATACAAGAGGTACGTAAGCATATGGAAGCGGAAGATGATGGCCGGCGCAAAGGTCGGGATGAACTTGGTAACCAGGTAGGGAATCGGGTGGTCGTAATGCGCGGTCAATGGGAACGGAGCAGACAATGAATGATACCAAGACTGGTGCCATTTGGCAAGTGTAGGAGATATTTTGGAGTGGAGAGCATAGCGGTGAAGGAAATATGAAAGGAACTATTAAAAGGAAAATCATAACGTTAGCATATTGAACTATCAAAAAAAGCGCATCCAAGCAATGTAGTCGGGAAATTTATACACTTACTTCTCGCCCCAGCATCGCCAAGCTCAAATCCCTACACATCTCAAATGGCATAGGAAGCTTCAGCGATACCTTAAGCGCACTGCGCTTGCCGAGCGTCCGAACAAGTATCATCTCAAGCATGCCCTGCACAGCGATACCCAAAAATAAATTGAACAGCCCCCACCCGGCGATCTTGAGCTCCTTGGCGTGGATCCGACGTCGCCTCTTCCCACCCGGTAAGCCAGTCGCGCCATGCGCCTTGATGAGAACCGCGGCCGACGGGGTCAGGATATCGAAGAGGAAGAAGACAATAGACGGCAGTGCGTAGAATATTATGCGCACGGCGATTGTTCCCCACAGTTCCACGCGGAGTCGGGAATGCGACAGTACCAGCGTTGACCAAGTCATGTAGAAGAAAAGGAGGTTCAGGCTGGTGCTGTAGGATGAAAGGACTGGAATCAGGAAGACGGACAGAATCGGTATTGAGAAGAGGGCCTCCATCTTCACACGAGCTTGTGTGTTAATTGCTGTAAATGGTATTGAAAGACTCGAAAGTAAATAGTTGTATCTTGTGTTATCGCTATCGTCGAGTCTTTCGGAGGAGCGAGGGTTTTGTTTCTCTTTTCCCAGCAATTCCTCTTTGTGCCGAAAATAGTAGCCTGCGATCAGTTGACATTCATATTTGAGACAAAGACTCTTTTAAAATCTAGTCTGGGTAGAGCAATTGGGGACAAAGAAATTTCGAGTTCGAAAATGGGGTGGCAGGATAAAAGATAAGCTTGGTTATCTACATCGTACGTCATCCTCCGCGGATTGCGGAATACGGCTGCGTCAATGAAAGATGGAAAAGTTCAAATTGCTATAAAAAAAATACGAACACAGACTATTGTTTTGTACTGTACAGTAAAAATGCGCAACAAAGCCCAAAATGAATTGAAGAATGTTTAGGTGTTGGGAGGGGCAGCTGAAGGAAGCGCAATACAGACAGCGCTCAGGGTATCATCATGCATGAAGCAGTCGACAGACCATGTGAAGAAAATAAGGATATACCCGATCGTTATGAAGCTGGAGTACTGTCAGTATTGTTGGGAAGCCCGTTCTGCTTTCCCCAAGTGAAAGCCTTGCTGCGAAGGTCTGGAATGACCTGGAGGAATACCAGGTTGCTGAGCCAGCTGAGCAAAGTGTCACCGACAATGCTGTTTTTCGGGCTGGGCCCAAGGGCAGTTCCTTTCATGATGGCACCAACAAAGTTGGTAGTGATTAGGTACTCTCCACGCTCTAGGGCACGGATAGAGATTTGCGCGACCTCCGCTGGCGTCTGGGGCTTGTCGGCTTCTTCAAGTTTCTTGGTCAATTCAGGCTTGGTCTTTTGCTCGTTGTCGAAGCCGGGTGAGAGAATCCCCATGGGGAAAACGGTGTGGATCTTGACATCCGCAGCCGGGGCATCACTGCGGTGCCGTTGGGTATAGGCTCCGTTGTACATTTCGATTTCCTGGCTCAGAGTATCAGATAGCGAACGAATGGCTGCCTTGGCAGGCGAGTACGGCGAATAGCCAGCGATGGGAACGAATGCAAGGGTAGAGCATGTAAAAATGAGATGCCTCCGGGGTGTTTTCATCTGTCCACTCGGAGGAACGGGGTTCAGCCAGTTGCGCAGGGTCGCATGAGCCGTGTTGGCCGCAGTCCAATAGATTGTATCCATTTGCTGTCGGTGATCTTGGATGGGCACATCGACGAAGTATCCTGGGCGGGAGAAGCCCGCGCAGCACCAAACAACGTCAGGAGCAGCTCCAGAATTCCACGCTGTGACTTCTGCGATGACTCTTTCGCACTCAACAGGATCAGTGAGATCGGCGCTGATATAATGGAATTTCTGCTTGAAAATATTCGCTGCCTTGGTCTGGATGATAGGTGAGCAATACTAATCAACTAATTATGGAGGGATGTCCGACCTTCATCTCATCGACGGCAGTCACCAGCTTGGAAACAGTTCGCGCAACCACGACAACGTTTGCGCCTTTCGCGGATAGCTCGAGCGCGACAGCTTTGCCCATGCCATCGGAACCACCGGTGATTACCACAGTCTAAGACCCAATTAGAAAGCGACAAATCGATCATGTAGTCTTGCACATACCTGCCCATCGACATTGAACTCGTTTCGGGATCCGAAACCAAACATCTTAGCAATAGTGTAAAGAATAATAGTGCAAAGGAGTGCGGAAACACCCAATATCGGGGTTGATGTATTATTATATGAGGACTGCAAGGACGAGAGAAATTGAGGCAGATGAAAACGGGCAATTAACTCGCGAAGATCCATCGTGGATGAATGGTAGCTGCGTCTGTTGGTTGTCCTCGAAATGGAAGGCACATGTGCACACACGGGGCTGTAAATTAGTGACACATAAATACCGGAGATCGTTCTGTTTTTGACGTTCCAAGGCGTGAGATCGTAAAATTACCAGTATTCAACTTACCACAAGTGCAAACAGAGCAAAAGCCCCCACTTGAGGCTAGCGCATCTAGGGCGGTGAGAGGCCAAAAAATAATTTTATCACAGTTTATCGGACCGGCTGAGTTGGTTCACTGTCGTTTGATTTCTACACGCAAAAATGGGCAGCAAAAAGAGAAAAGCCGGTCGCCCGGCGCAACCGAAAACAGCCCCTGAGCCCTCCAAGTTCGACATCGAGGAGCGATTCGACGACTCGGAAGATGACTTCCAAACCGGCCGTGACCAGATTCTACTTGAGGAAGGCCCAGAGGCAAAGAGACGGCGGAGAGTTGCTGAGGAAGGTATGTGTCTATAATTATGACCTATCCTGGTGCAAACGGTGTCTTACTGATCGCCGCAGAGGAATTGATCCAGCCCTCCGACGAAGAAATCCTTGGCTATGAATCCGCAGACTCGGATGAAGACCTTGAAGACTCAGAAGAAGAAGATGAATACGATGATATGGGCCAGCCAAAGGGTGGCGCCGAATCCGAGGAAGAAGATGAAGGTATTGCCGCCTGGGGCTCATCAAAGAAGGATCTTTACAACGCAGATCAGATTGAGACCGAGGTCGATGCATTGGAGGAAGAACAGGAGGCCAAGCGACTCCAACTGAAGCAGTTGCAGGCTATGAATGAGGCCGATTTCGGGTTCGACGAGTCTGAATGGGTAGAATCCGGCAAGGGTGCCGAGGACGGCGCCGATGCTGGTGTGGTGACCGAAGTGCTTCCGCAATTGGAGATCACCGAGGACATGGATACCGATGAGAAGCTGAAGATTTTGAAGTCGAGATACCCCGAGTTTGAACCCCTGGCGAAGGACTTCGTGGACCTTCAGAGCACTTTTAAGGATCTTCAACAAGCAGCCTCAAAGGCTTCTTCAACAGACGACGACTCAGAAGAGCCACAGCCATCACCAGTGCCTGTGGTGAAGTTCCGTGCATTGTCTGCATACCTTGGCACAATCAGCATGTACTTCATGCTCCTATCCTCCCCGTCTCCCGATGCAACTAGCGAACATGTTCCGATGACCCCCGCCGAACTGCGACAACACCCCGTCATGGGATCGCTTGTCAAATTCCGGAAGCTTTGGAACACCGTCAAGGATCTCGAGGAGCTCGAGGAACCCGCTGAGGAGCCTATCAAGGAGACTAAAACCGAGACAACCAAGGCACCAAAGACCCAAGAGACCAAGAAGCCGAAACAGAAGAAGCTCAGCAAGGCTGAGATCGCACAGGCAGAAGCCGAAGCTCTCCGCGCCGAGCGTATCCGCCAAACAGAAGCCGGTCTCGCCGATCTCGATAACCTCGCCACTGAGTCTTCACGGAAGCGCAAGACACAAAAGATCAAGGCACCTCTCAAGGATGACGACTCTGACTTCGGTGATGAGGCTGCTCTCACAGCCCACGAAGCAGAGGAGAAGGCCAAGCAGAAGCGCTCGCTCCGTTTCTATACCTCGCAATTGGCCCAGAAGGCCAACAAGCGCAACGCAGCAGGCCGGGATGCCGGTGGAGACGCTGATCTTCCATACCGTGAACGTCTGCGTGACCGTCAAGCCCGTCTCAACGTGGAAGCCGAGAAGCGCGGCCGCAAAGAACTCAATCCCGATCAGCAGCTGGGCGGTGATAGTGATGACGAGGATCGTCGCGTCGCCAAGGAGCTCCGCCGCGGCGAGGGTGCCAAGGAAGGCACCGATGACGACGAATACTACGACATGGTGGCATCCCGCTCCAAGAAGCGCAAAGATGACAAGCAGGCTCGTGCATATGCCCACGCTGAGGCTGAGCGCCTTGGCGGAAAGGTCTATGAGCAAGAGGAGATTGGTCCGGATGGCAAGCGTGCTATCACATACCAGATTCAGAAGAATAAGGGTCTGCACGCGAAACGCAGCAAGGACTCGCGTAACCCGCGTGTCAAGAAGAGAAAGAAGTACGAGGAAAAGAAGAAGAAGCTTGGCAGCACTAAGCAGCTGTACAAGGGTGGCGAGGGCCGCGGTGGATACGGTGGTGAGCTTACGGGTATCAAGAAGAACCTGGTTAAGAGTGTTAAACTGTGAATGTATGCTCGATCATAAACTTCACGGTCTTGTGTGTATGTTTTCATGGCGTTCACTGCGGGCAGTTTCAGGCATTCGATGTGTATATAACCCCGATTTCATCTTTTGGTTTATCCGAAGTTTCAAAAACCGTTTTATTCATCTCAATCCATCTTCCCTTAGTAGGTCTATGATGCGCTTGATGCACTAGGGATTTTGTCACTATGGTCTCCATTTAGATTCTTGTCTCCGATCTAGATACCAAGGATCAACCACACAGTACCGAAGATGCCAATGCCAAGGTCGCGTTTCTTCTTCCATACTTCCTCTCGCCCATGACGTCTGCTACGCCGATCAGCGACTAGCGTTGATTAGGGGAAAATGTGTATTGCCAGCTCTTTGTAAGCTCTGCGTCGAGCTTGGTGGAGAGATTCTCTCTTATGATAGAACGTAGATAGTGTCGACCCAGAAAATGTGGGTGATGTATTAAGATGCTTGACCTGGTGCTTACGGTCACATCGTCAGCGTGCAAGTCGGGAGCCTCATTATTCTCAATGTTGAAAATGTACACATAACAGGACCGGTGTAAAAGTTGGGGTCAATTCATTATTGGTTTTTAGCCCGGTTGCTACAATGCAGTGGAGGTGAATAGTGACTTCATTTTCCTAATAGGATAGATCAACATTGTAGGTTAGGTCAATTGATGGTGACATGGGGCGTATGTGTATGTTGTTCTCGGTAAGGATACTTGGGATATAATTGGCCTCCATGCGCTTGATCCCATAATAAGAAATCTTTTCACTCGAACAGGCCTTCGAAAACTGCCTTGACATGGTCTAAGCCACCTTGTGAGAAATCAATCTCCAGAAAACCTCTCGCCAGGGAGTTCTTGTAACAACGCTGTTAGTCACATTTCTTTCCTTTGAGACAAGGAAGAGCTCGTACCGCTTCTTCTAGGTCTTGCATCTCTTCTGAAGATAAAACTGCACAAGCCGCGACGATGTTCTCCCCTCGCGCTGAAAGAAACGCAATCTCGTTTGCGCGAGATACAATAGCTGGGTCGATACCGTTGATTGCCGCACAGCTATATCGCAACTCAATCAATTTTAAACGAAAGGAATGCGGGCATGATAGCAAGTAGGACGTACATGGTACCAAAGCTCTTGTTACTCCGCCCCGGACGAAAGCTGTTCTAACTGTAAGCATCATTTGCGTACCATTCATCCGAAAGCCAGTGTTTCTATACATACTTATAGAGATACGTGATCTGGTCTTCGACTTCCTGGGTTTCTTCGCAGACTTGAACTTCCATGTGACCAAGCTGGAGTTGAGGCCGCAAAGTGAGGAAATTGTTCTCGAAAATCTCATGGAAATGAGTTGCTGCAATGACTTTCGCGGGGCTCTCGAGGCACAGCAGATAATCGAGTATGCCGGAGGCAAGTCCGATGCCATCTGAATAGCATTAATTAATCCGCATCAAGAGCTTTAACTAGATAGGAACAGACCGCTTTCGTTGGTTCCCTTCCCAAACTCATCGATGATGACCAAGCTTCGATTTGTGACTTGTTTCAAACAAAGAGAGATTTGCTGCAAATCATTCATGAATGTACTTTGAATCTAAAGACATGTTAGGCCGCCCAATTTAAGATTTTATACGGAGACTTTGAGATACCTTAGAGACACTCTCTTGAGTATTGATTTTGGTCAAGATCTTATCTGTGACTCCCAACTCCGCGCTGTCTGCAGGGATGAAGCTGTGACAGTTAGCCTTTGTATGGCCATCTTAATAGAAAGAAACATACCTCCCAATCTGCGCTAGATAGACAATCAGAGCAACCTAGTTTTATGTCAGAAAATGAGTCTATCAAAGACAAAACAAAGCTTACCTGCTTGATATAGACACTTTTTCCTGAGTAGTTCGGTCCAGTCAAGAGCAACATGCTGGGGTTGGAATCCCTGGATGAAGCAGAATCACCGGTCTCGGACTCATTTCCACCCACGAGCAATGTGTCATTTGGCACATAGGACGAAACAGTCAATTCTTGAAGAATGTGTCTGCCATTTGTCAGGGATATCGAGAGATCATTGCTAACAAACTCTTACCGGCCACCCTTGATTCTGATCACATTTTGTTCAACCATTCGAGGTCTGACCAGCTTGTAGAAGCTGGCTGCTTGTGTGAGGGCAAGAAGACTGTGGACTTTGTATCAGCGGACCTCTTATCATGTTCCACAACTACTAACCTATCAATATCTCCACAGATATCAGAGGCATCGACAAGCACATTCTTATATCGAAGAACCCTCTGTGCCAAGTCGTACACAATCTCGATTTCTTTCTCTGTCAAGGGACAATTTTTTAGTTCTCTATTTCCATGGCTTCTCATTGATTCAAAACGCTTACCGCAAATTATACCGTATATATCCCCCAACTTCTCATCCATCTCTCTCATGCGGAAGTCTTTGAAATATCCACGATTCTCCGTGATGAACATCAACTCCCACTCATCATCGGCGCCAGTATATGCCGCGGCGCCATGATCATCAAGTGGAATGGCGATATTGAACCCAAGCTGAGGGAAGTAAATGACATTGACGTCGACGTCGAGAGTTGCCGGGATTGTTGCGGCAATGTCGAGGGCAACGTGCTTGAGA